TGTGGTGTGTTAAAAATCTGTGGTGTGTTTACAAGTGTGTGTGGTATGTTTACAAGTATGTGGTGTTTACAAGTATGTGATATGTTTACTCGTGTGTGTGTGGTGTGTTTACAAATATGTGGTATGTTTACAAGTATGTGGTGTGTTTACAAACATGTGGTGTGTTTACAAGTATGTGGTGTGTTTACAAGCGTGCGGTATGTTTACATGTATGTGGTATGCTTAAGAGTATGTGGTGTGTTTACAAGCGTGTGGTTTGTTTACAAGGGTGGCATGTTAATAGGCGTGTTTTTTACAAGTGTATGGTTTGTTTACATGTGTACTGTATGTTTACACTGGTGTTGTCTGCTTACATGCATGCTTTAATAATATGCTAAAACTTTATAATTCCATGGTATATTAAATTAAAACCAATATAAAGTTCGTCTTGTAAATATGTACTACGTATACCTGCCAGTGATGTTTACAAACTTTTTCACTAATGAATTTAATATCATGAGTTTGAAATCTAATGGACCAAACACGATATCAGCGAGTTAGAGGTTATTGAAAAAGGATAAGGGGGGGGATGAAGTGGGGGGAGAACAGGAAGGGGGGCGAAGATGAGTGAATGGAGGGAAAGGGGGAATGGGAGAGGAGGTCAAAGAGGGGAAGATGAAATGGGTTGGGGAAAGGAAAGGAGCAAAGGGAGAGGGGGGTGAAGTGGGAGAGGATGAGGGATAGAGATGGAGGGCGAAGTGATTTGTAGGTAGGGAGAGGGACAAGGATTCTGAAATTGGAGGGATATGAGGGAAGGATCTTAAACGTAGAGAGAGTTGGGTTTTGAAGGTGGAGTGGTAGGAGTATGGAGATGATAATGAGGGAGATGGAGAGGAAGGGAGAGTTGGAAGAGGCCACTCAATATGGATACTGGTGAGCGTGTCCTATGTGCTCAAACCAAGACAATTCGGGTTTGGGATTCCCCCTTGGGTGTGAGGCGGCAGCCCATGGCAGCACGAGGCTAAGTCGCCAGTTTCACAGACGAGAAAGACTCTTACGTTAAACTAGATACGAACAATACAGTACCTTCAAATTGGCCAGAAGAGAAGCAATTATCAGAGCCGATTGGCAAGAGACCTGTACTCTACTGTTCCTCGGATCTTGGTAAATATACGTTATTCTTCGGATAAAATATACATTAGCTCGTGCGAAGGTGTTCAGCAGTGAGATTTTCTTCTTCCCTTCTCTTTTGACCTCTGATTAAGAAAATCACGGAATCTTCACTATCAGTTACCAGTCGATGGAGTGAACGTGAGGTGAGTCTAGGTTTCTGCTTCAGCTGTAAAGTAATGATCAACCGTCTCTGTTGGAAAATATCCACCATTCTCTCTCTCCGAACACCTCACAGTCAGAGGCCAGCCACACTCAGGAGTCTGGTGCTGGTAAAACCACATCTATCGCCCCACCAACCTTCCCATCGCCATTCACTACATCATAAGAACTAGTAGGTGAAATTCTTCCCGAATTCCTGAGAGGCCCAGCTGGGGAGCACGACATCAGCTACAATCTGGGAGTCACTCTCCGAGACGCCCCGCGACCCCATCAGCTCCCACAAAGGCTTACATACAATCCACCTGCAAGAGCCTCATCACGGAAAATATCGTCTCTACGATGCTCGAGTAAGTGTCATCAGAGCAAGAGATTGGTCATTCGTCTTGGATACACGAACCCAGAGTGACTCCAAGCTTATGTGTAAGATCAAGTCCTGCGTCCATCAAGACACTACCGAGCCCAGATTCGAACCCAGACGTTTGGTATAAGAGTCGAGAATTATAAAACAATCGGCCTTTATTTAATAACTACTGTTATCAAGCACCGTGTATCTGAAGACTCCATGTTTGCCCTTGATACCATTGTAGTGTCAAACATTCATTGCTTTCACTAAGACTAACTCATGTTATTCATCACAACCTTATTCAACTCGACAACCCTAGGTTATTCATCACAAGACAAACCTGGATTATTCATAACAAAAAACACAACGCAATACTAGATCAAAGCAGGACGAGACAGCTCTGGATTATTCACTAGAGGACAACTCCAGATTATTCATACCAAGATAATTCCAGATTATCTGAGATTATTCACGATGAGACAATAGCCTATCACCCACCAGGAGACGATCTCAGATAATTCATTACGAGACAATAGTGATGGTGGCTCGTGGCCCAGCCTGAGAGACAGCGAGACAGGGGAGATATTCACGCCGGCACCAGGTGGGATGGAGGGAGTGGGGGAAGCAAAGGAGGGTACGGAGGGAAGGTAAGGGGGAGAGATGCTTGGAGGGAGTAACGGAGGGAAGGTAAGGGGGAGAGATGCTTGGAGGGAGTAACGGAGGGTAGGTAAGGATGGTAGGTAAGGGGGAAGCAGATACTAGGAGGGTAAGGAGGGAAGGTAAGGGGATAGGGAGGAAGTACTAAGACCGATATGTCCTTGTCAGATATTATGGTAGTGGGAGATGACACCCGGGAGGGAGGGGAGGGAGGGAGGGAGAGGAGGTCGCTGGATGGGGAAGCAGGAGAGAGGAAGAGGAAGTCATGGAAGAGGAGGTAGGGAGACAGGGAGAGAAGTCGCTGAAGGGGAGGCAGGAAGAGAGGGAGAGGAAGTTGCTGGAAGGGAGGCAGGAAGAGAGGGAGGAGGTCGCTGGATGGGGAGTGGTGGGGAGAGAGAATGGGGAGAGGATCGCCGAAAGAGAGGGTAGGGAGAGAGGAAGGGGGGAGAGATCGCTGAAAGAGAGGTAGGGAGAGAGGGAGAGGAAGTCGCTGGAAGGGAGGCAGGAAGAGAGGGAGAGGAGGTCACTGGATGGGAGGCAGGGAGAGAGGAAGGGGGGAGAGATCGCTGAAAGAGAGGTAGGGAGAGAGGGAGAGGAAGTCGCTGGAAGGGAGGCAGGAAGAGAGGGAGAGGAGGTCACTGGATGGGAGGCAGGGAGAGAGGAAGTTGCTGGAAGGGAGGCAGAGGGAGAGGAAGTCACTAGAAGGGAGGCAGGGAGAGAGGAAGTTGCTGGAAGGGAGGCAGAGGGAGAAAGAGAGGGAGAGTGAGCCACCTAACACACTACAGCATTCAATAACCTTTCTTATCCACTCTCTCTCTCTCCTGTGTACTAATATTTCCTGGCCAGCAGTGTCAACAAACACTCGACACACCAAGTCTATTCCACCATTTATTTGGTTCACTGTCTACTGTGTATTCGTGTTTCTTGAGAGAGAGAGAGAGAGAGAGAGAGAGAGAGAGAGAGAGAGAGAGAGAGAGAGAGAGAGAGAGAGAGAGAGAGAGAGAGAGAGAGAGAGAGAGAGAAAAAGATATATAAGAGACAGAGAGCAGTCAGTCAGTCAGTCAATTTAAACTGCAAATTACTATGAAGAAAGATAACACCAATGCCATTATCTTAGGCCCTATACTTGGTGTCACAGAAAACCTCCCTCACCATCCCCTTCCTCCTCACCCCTTCCCTCACTCCCTCCTCCTCACCCCCTCCTCCCCCTCACCCTTCTCCATATCATATACCAAACATTTGAGAGCTAGTTTGGGTTGACTTACTGGAGGCTACATAAGACAAATACTCCTAGACAGGGAGTTCCTCTGCCTCATATTCCCAGAAATGAATTAATAATGTAAGGTATAGACCGCAGAGGTTAAGTATGGACCGTAAATAGCTTGGGTTTAGTAGTTACCGAGTCTATGTGTAGTGCTATTTAGCTTGAGGCATTAATGGCAGCAATCGCCTTATGTATGGTTAACTTAAAGGTGATGACACAGCATTATAGCCAAAAATACCAACAGAATTATCACCACTACCAACAATATTAACAAATAAACAAAATCGATAAATTAACACAGTAAACTATAACAACCAAAGTAATTACCACAACAACAATAATTTCATAGTTACATACACTGTTAAGAGGTTCATTAACGGGATAATTAGTAACACTCATTCCTCCCGATATAACCAGCCTAATTATCAACTCATCATTAGTAAAAATATAAACACAATTATTATCGCAAACAAAAAGTAATAAACTAACAGGAGCAAATAATTAGTTGTTATAATTATTACTAAAACATAATTAGTAATATAATAATCCAAATAATTACCCCCCAAAATAATTATTCCAGTAATGACTTATAATTACATTTTAACAACCAGCAAATTACTGATTATTTTACCAAGTATCAAAAAAACAAATCATGAATTATTTAAAAGTTTAATAATTTAATCCTCAGCAAACATCCGATCGCCGATAATTATTCCCACTCCGTTATTATAGGAATCAGTATTAAACATCCGCTAATCCCACTCCAAAATCACGTATATAAGCATCCCTAATCCCACTCCGTAATTATGTATATAAACATTCTAATCCCACTCCACAATCACGTACATTAACATCCCCATATCCCTCTCAGTTATCACATCAACATCCCTTAATCCCACTCCTATATCACATAAACATCCCTAATCCCATTCCGATATCACATAAACATCCCTAATCCCACTCCAATATCACATCAACATCCCTAATCCCACTCAGCTATCAAATCAGCATCCCTAATCCCACTCCAATATCACATCAACATCCCTAATCCCACTCAGCTATCATCATCCCCCAATCCCACTCGGTTATCACACACATATCCCTAATCACCTCCGACTGACCGACCACTAACCATCCAACTCCCTCTTCTGTTTATTTACCACCCATGATATTACCCAGTAAACAATTCACAACGGTTCAATTGGTTGTTAGGCGGACACCCACTAACCGTGCAATTGCTACCGCCACCTCGTTAAGGGATGACGGTATTATGGCACACGTTATAGGCGCAACATTCGTAACGAGGCGAGATGTAGTCTTGACCTTTCTTCATTAACTATTCACAAAATTAATTTCAAATGTCCTCTGATTGCAATGCTGTGTAGACATGAGACGGTATTGAATTGAGGATGAGAGAACAATGAGATGAATAGACTGAATAAGGTGAATAAACTGAATAAGGTGAATAAACTGAATAAGATGAATAAACTGAATAAGATGAATAAGGTGAATAAATTGAATAAGCTGAATAAACTGAATAAGCTGAATAAGCTGAATAAACTGAATAAGCTGAATAAGCTGAATAAACTGAATAAGCTGAATAAGCTGAATAAACTGAATAAGATGAATAAGGTGAATAAATTGAATAAGCTGAATAAACTGATTAAGATGAATAAGGTGAATAAATTGAATAAGCTGAATAAACTGAATAAGCTGAATAAGCTGAATAAACTGAATAAGCTGAATAAGCTGAATAAACTGAATAAGATGAATAAGGTGAATAAATTGAATAAGCTGAATAAACTGATTAAGATGAATAAGGTGAATAAATTGAATAAGCTGAATAAACTGAATAAGCTGAATAAGCTGAATAAACTGAATAAGATGAATAAGGTGAATAAATTGAATAAGCTGAATAAACTGAATAAGGTGAATAAGCTGAATAAACTGAATAAGCTGAATAAGCTGAATAAACTGAATAAGATGAATAAGGTGAATAAATTGAATAAGCTGAATAAACTGATTAAGATGAATAAGGTGAATAAATTGAATAAGCTGAATAAACTGAATAAGCTGAATAAGCTGAATAAACTGAATAAGATGAATAAGGTGAATAAATTGAATAAGCTGAATAAAGTGATTAAGATGAATAAGGTGAATAAATTGAATAAGCTGAATAAACTGAATAAACTGAATAAGCTGAATAAACTGAATAAGATGAATAAACTATAAAGATATTGTGTATTAAAGGAGGCCATCTGAATTAATATTCCGAGATTCGTTCTGGGTAATGGTTTTATCTGGTATCCATATTTGGTATCCATGTTTGGTAGCCATATTTGGTAGCCATGTTGGGTAGCCATCTTTGGATTTAAACGAACTAGGTAAAATAATTATCCTATCTCCAGTTACAGGGATAATTCTAACTTACGTATTATTGATACAATTCGTCTTTGTGTCTGCGGTTAAGTGATTCAGTTAGATTCTTCCAGTTAAGGTTGAAGTTTTACGTGAGAGCATTTGAGCAACCAAACCTAACCTAACCTAACCCAACCCAACCCAACCCAACCCAACCCAACCCAACCCAACCCAACCCAACCCAACCCAACCCAACCCAACCTAACCCAACCAACCGACCTAACCCAACCCAACCAACCCAACCCCAACTCAACCCAACCCAACCCAACCTGGTCCCCAACCCACCTGGTCAACCCACCCAACAACCCAGCCAACCTATTGACAACCAACCCAACCTCAACAACCAGCCCACCCAATACCCAACCCAGCCCCACCCAATTCTCTCACCCAACCCAACCCAAACCCAACCTAACCTGTAAGGAGTGAATTTCTGGGGGTGATAATTATTTCGCTCACTTCAATAATGTTAAAATTAGCGTTGAAATTATTCTTCGTCCTTTTAAGATCTGCTCTGCGGTGGTGAGGAGAGTGGTGGTGAAGGGGAAGAAGTAAGGGAGGAAGGAGAGTGGTGGTGAAGGAAGAAGTGAGGGAAGGAGGGAGAGTGGTGGTGAAGGGAGGGAGGAAGGGAGAGTGGTGGTGAAGGGGAAGAAATGAGGGAGGAAGGGAGGTGGTGGTGAAGGGAGTGAGGGAGGGAGGGGAGAGTGGTGGTGAAGGGAAGAGTGAGGGGAGGAGGGAGGGTGGTGAAGGGAAGAAGTGAGGGAGGGAGGAGGTGGTGGTGAGTGAGGAGGAGGAGAGTGGTGGTGAAGGGAAGGGGAGGGGAGGAGGGAGAGTGGTGGTGAAGGTGAAGAGGGAGTGAGGGAAGAAGGAGGTGGTGGTGAAGGGAAGAAGTGAGGGAGGAGGGGAGAGTGGTGGGAAGAGGAGTGAGAGGGAAGGAGGGAGAGTGAGGAGGGAGGGAGGGAGGGGAGGGAAGAAGTGAGGGGAGGGTGGTGAAGGGAAGAAGTGAGGGAGGGAGGGAGAGTGGTGGTGAAGGGAAGAAGGGGGAGGGAGAGTGGTGGTGAAGAAGAAGTGAAGGAGGGAGAGGGTGGGGAAGGAGAGTGGTGGTGAAGGGAAGTGGAGGGAAGGAGAGTGGTGGGTGAAGGGAGAAGGAGGGAGGGAGGGAGAGTGGTGGTGGGAAGAAGTGGAGGGAAGAGAGTGGTGGGTGAGGGAAGAAGTGAGGGAAGGGGAGGGGAGGGAGAGTGGGGTGAAGGGAAGGGAAGGAGGTGGTGGGTGAAGGGAAGAAGTGAGGGAGGGAGCAGTGGTGAAGGGACAGTGAGGAGGGAGAGTGGTGGTGAAGGGAGGAAGTGAGGGAGGAGAGGGTGGTGAAGGAGGAAGTGAGGGAGGGAGAGTGGTGGTGAAGGAGGAAGTGAGGAGGAATTGGAAGTGGTGAGCTAAAGGGGACAAGTGAAGGAGGGAAAAGGCAAAGGAAGGAACTGGCAGAAGGAGGGAGGTGGTGAAGGCGAGAAGGGAGGAGGGAGAGGGAGGGAGGGGGGAGGGAGGAGGGTCCATAACCCGTTGTCCACAGGCTATAAATCGGAGGCTAATGTCCCTAATTCACAGTCTTTAGTTCAAAGACAGCGTTCACCAGTGCCTGATCCATGTCCATAGAGCGTGGTAATTGCACCTGTGGCCCATGGTCCATAGTCCATAGTGATTGTGGTACCTATTGCATGGTCCATAGCATGTGGTACCTACTGCGTGGTCCATGGTCCATAGCACGAGGTACCTGTGCGTGGTTCATGGTCCATAGCGCGAGGTACCTATTGCGTGGTTCATGGTCCATAGCGCGAGGTACCTATTGCGTGGTCTGCATGGTCCATAGCGCGAAGCCTATTGGTGGTTCATGGTTAGCGAGGGGTACCCATTGCGTCCCATAGCGCGAGGTACCTATTGCGTGGTTCATGGGTCGATAAATCCCCAGCAGGAGGCTGGTGCTGGCAGGCGATGGGTCAACCCACTTTAGCCTCTCAAGTTGCTTGTGGTCCAAATGACACTGGGGCGATGTGAGGGTGGTGTGAGAGGTGAGGGGTGGTGTGAGAGTGAGGGGTGTGAGTGAGGTGAGGGGTGAGAGGTGAGGGGGGTGGGAGAGGTGAGGGGGTGTGGTGAGAGGTGGGGGTGTGGGGAGGTGGGGGTTGTGAGAGGGGGGGTGGTGTGGGGGTAGTGTGAGAGGGTGAGGTGGGTGTGGAGATGGGGGGTGTGGAGAGGTGGGGTGAGGGGTGGTGTGAGAGGTGGGGATGGTGTGAGGTGAGAGGGGTGGGTGTGAGGGTGTGTGGAGGAGGTGGGGGGTGGTGTGAGGGATGATGGGGGGTGTGAGGAGAGGTGGGGTGTGGGAGGGTGAGGGGATGGTGTGAGAGGTGAGGGGTGTGGAGGAGAGGAGAGGTGTGGGAGGGAGGGGGGTGTGTGAGAGGAGAGGATGTGTGTGTGGAGGGGTGAGGGATGGTGTGAGAGGTGAGGATGGTGTGAGAGGGTGGGAGGGGTGAGTGAGGTGGTGTGGGTGTGGTGTGAGGGGTGAGGTGTGAGGGTGGGGGAGGGGTGAGAGGGGAGGGGTGGTGTTAGAGGTTTGGGGTTGGAGAAATGAGGGGTGGTGTGAGAGGTGAGGGGTGGTGTGAGGGGTGGTGAGAGGTGAGTGGGTGGTGTGAGGGTGATGGGTGGTGTGGAGAGGTGGGGGTTGGTGCGTGAGGTGAGGGAGAGTATGAGGGGTGAGGGAGAGTATAAGGTATAAGGGGTGATATATGAGGTGACAGGTGGGGGCGAAGAGTGAACAGTGGGGGTGAGTAAGAATGGAATTAAGAGTATGTATGAGGTTAGGTTTAATGAGTTTCTATACTATGGCCTTCAAAAACACACACACACACAATCCCTATACATACATACATATATACATACATAAATACATACATGCATACCATCAGCGCAAAAAACACACAAAAAGGCAACAACATTGCTGTGTTTGGTTAGAAATCGGCCCACTGATCGCACTACCCAGCTCGCTCACAGATATATGGTGCCACATTTGCATTCATAAAGATAACGCAATTACGCATTTATATCCATTAAGATAACATCATTACGCGTTATTAGTCAGCGAGGGGCTCGATAACAGTGTCAGCTGGTTCCGATATGTTAAGGGGCTGTGCATGGCCATTATTTTAAAGGTTGTGCATGGCCATTATGTTAAGGGCTGTGCATGGCCATTATGTTAAGGGGTGTGCATGACTGGCCATGTCAGTACTGAGTCAGGATTAATTACCACCGTGTCCGAGTCATTTAGGAAAGTCACGCGTCATGAATGGAAAGGTACCGTACGTGATGAAAGGACGGAAACGTACACGCTGAAGTAAAAAGTACGTGATGCATGTATGGAAACGTACATGATGAAGGAAAAAGTACGTGATGAATGGATGGAAACGTACATGATGAAGGAAAAAGTACGTGATGAATGGATGGAAACGTACGTGATGAAGGAAAAAGTACGTGATGAATTGATGGAAACGTACGTGATAAATGGAAAAAGAAGGTACTTGATGAATAGTAAGGTCGTGTAATAATTCAGTTCCCAGAGTTTTTCTTCTTGGAGGTGACCTTTGCAATGGCTGTCGCTGTGAACTTTACCTTTCAAAAGACTATTTATGCAAGACTACCGTATACCTGTCCGAAGAGCTATCGTACTTAAGTGAAAATTAGTTGGCAAATGTTACTTATGTATAAAAAAAAAAAAAAATCAGTCCCCAGATTTGAGAAAAGAAAAAACTGAAAAATATCCCCAAATCCTAAAGTAAAAAAATAAATAAAAAATAAAACAAAGAAATTAAAAACACACAGGAAAATAAAATTAATGAACCAACTATGTAAAAATAAATAAAAACACTTCAATGACTGTAAGAACCACTTTCCGTAAACCACTTAGTTCAAAACCACTTGTTCAAAAGGTTCCATAAATTGCATAACATCACCACCCAACTTCCCATAGACCACCAACACCAAAACCACTCTTCCAAAACCTACCTTCTAGGAAATCCTTATTGTAACACGAGATTTCACTACCTTATATACAGCACCACCTTGTATATATGGCCTTCCTCCCGTCGTGGGTTAAGAGCACCCGAGTACCGAGGAAGGACTCGTATGTCAGACGTTTCCAGCACCGTCAGGGTATCGACTTTCCTCCACCGACAACACCAGAATATACAAAAAAAAAAACGGGGAGAGGAACATCAGTCTTTATTGCACTCTGTTAGGGAACCAGAGGAGGCAGAAGGAAGATGAAGACAAAAAATAATCAGTGACATTCGACTTATTGCAACTCACAAATGAATTCTGTCTTTTACTGGATTCCCTTTTGAGGATTATTGAATTTCAGCCTCCCTGCTATCCCCTTCTCCCTCCTCCTATCCGTCCCTCCCCCACCGCTTTTAACAAATCAAGTCACGGTGTTGAAAAGAAAGAAAGAATCACCTAAAACAAAAACAAAAAAATCAGATAGAGGAGAAGAAGAAGGGATATCTCCTGACGGCGTGGCTGAGGAAGGTGACACCCACCACGTCAACACAGAAGTGAGATACATTTCCGGAATAAAAAAAAAATAAATCTAATTTCTTCCTGCAATCTACAAATCTGGGTATTCTTCCCTTTGCAACAATCCTTCTTAAAAAATAATAAAAATAATAAAATAATAGTATCTTGTCTCCTCGTAACTCACAAAATCTGTAAAGGTGAATAATGTTTGAATACACTATAAAATATCATATAGGTGTATTGTCTGGGATACAGGAGGTGAA